TTTGACTTGCTTTTATTCCATATTTTCATTGTTCATAAATAAATAAATAAATAAAAATYTATCCAGATACAGTACATGGACTCTTGGATAGATTGAATTTAATTGTGTTTGGTGAGAAATGTAAATATAAACCATCCTGACATCCTGTTGGACTGAACTCAGTCCGTCACATCCAGCAGGACAGACGGCAGCAGATGGAGCCTAGAATGAAGATGATCGTGGCTCAAACAACTAGTCAACTAGTCTCAACTAGTCTAGTCAGTTGATTCCAAATTTTTCAATTTTAATATTTTAATTTAACATTATACTCATTGACTTTAGATGAAAAATAAGGCTGGGTGGAGTGGGTGGTGCACCATGTGGTGGCTTTTATGCTTAATGTCTTTTTTTAAGTGGTTTTTTTACTTTAAGTAGTTTAAAAACCAGTACTTTTTAAATTTTTACTTGAGTAAAAAGCTCAGTACTTCTACTTCCAAAAAAGTACTTTTAAACCTTAGTATCTATACTTCTACTTAAGTAATGAATGTGAATGCTTTTGACACCTCTGCAGAGATTATTTTCAAAGATAAATGAGAATAACAGTTCAAGATTACCTACCTGACAGAGCTCTATAAAGTACTTGAAAAAAATAACCAAGTAACAGTAAAAATWCCTTAACAGAAAAAATGACTTTGGTAAAAATAAATGAGAAAACTACTTAAGTAAAAGTCCTAAAACTGTTCACAAAAATTGGGAAAGTAAAAGTACTTTTCCACGCTCTCTAACAAATAAACTGTTAATTTTACAGGAACCAAACTGGCTCCACAAAACCAATTTGATTAAACTGGTCAATTTCTTTAAAATAAAACATGTGTATCACCTCAAATTTACTCTGAGTTTAGTAGAAATAATTGATATGATTTAGTTGGGTAAATTCAACACTTAATTTTTTAGAGCACATAAACAACTCAGAGATTTAATTTATAACAAGTAACCAGGTGTTAAACTTTAAAGTAAAGAAGTTAAAGTGTCATTTTTAGCTTTTAAAAGTAACTAAGTAAAAGTCACGATTAAAAAAAAATACTTGGTAAAATTACAAATCCTCAAAAAATTACTTAAGTAGCTTATTATTATGTAGTTTGACTATAAAGCTCTAACTGATGCTTTTCATAAACTGTGATCCACTCACCTTCAGAAAGTCACTTCAGTCCTCATTAAATGTCCTCAGAGCTTCAGAAAACCTGTTTGTCTCGAGCTCCGAGTCCTGCGTGACTCGGCTGCAGCAGGTCTGCCACTCGGCTGCAGCAGGTCAGCGACTCGGCTGCAGCAGGTCAGCGACTCGGCTGCAGCAGGTCAGCGACTCGGCTGCAGCAGGTCA